TATAGCGATTTTTGGGCATTTTTGTAACGATTTTTGGCAATTTTTACAGCGATTTTTGGCTGGTTTTACCGGGGCACAGACCACGCCCACTTTCCCGATGACCACGCCCCCTTTCCTCGAGGCCACGCCCCGGGGAATCCCTGCCCGGCTCCGCCGTGACGTCAGCGCGTTTGTGCGTCACGTCCGGCGGCGCACTCGGAAGTGGCGCGGGGCCGGTTGCCATGGGACGGCCCGGGAGGTGAAACGGGGAAAAAACCGGGAATGGGGAAAAACCGGGAATGGGGAAAAAAACTGGGAATGGGATAAAAAACGGGAATGGGATCGGGAATGGGAATGGGGATGGGGAAAAAACCGGGAATGGGAAAAACCGGGAATGGGATCGGGAATGGTGAAAAACCGGGAATGGGGAAAAACCGGGAATGGGATAAAAAACGGGAATGGGATAAAAACCGGGAATGGGGAAAAAAACCGGGAATGGGAACGGGAACGGGAATGGGAATGGGATCGGGAATGGGAATGGGATCGGGAATGGGATCGGGAATGGGAATGGGGATGGGGAAAAACCGGGAATGGGATAAAAAACGGGAATGGGATAAAAACCGGGAATGGGGAAAAAAACCGGGAATGGGAACGGGAATGGGAATGGGAATGGGAATGGGAATGGGAATGGGATCGGGAATGGGATCGGGAATGGGAATGGGGATGGGGAAAAAACCGGGAATGGGAATGGGATCGGGAATGGGATAAAAAACTGGGAATGGGAACGGGAATGGGGAATGGGGAATGGGGAATGGGAATGGGAATGGGAATGGGAATGGGAATGGGAATGGGATAAAAAACCGAGAATGGGATAAAAAACCGGGAATGGGGAAAAAAACCGGGAATGGGAATGGGGATGGGGAATGGGAATGGGATCGGGAATGGAGAAAAAACCGGGAATGGGATCGGGAATGGGAATGGGATTGAGATCGGGGAAAAAGCCGGGAATGGGATCGGGAATGGAGAAAAAACCGGGAATGGGATCGGGAATGGGGAATGGGAATGGGATCGGGAATGGAGAAAAAACCGGGAATGGGATCGGGAATGGGATCAGGGAATAGGATGGGGTGGGGAATGGGATCGGGGAATGGGGAAAAAACTGGGAATGGGATCGGGATCAGGGAATGGGATGGGATGGGATGGGATGGGATGGGATGGGATGGGATGGGATGGGATGGGATGGGATGGGATGGGATGGGATGGGATGGGGGAATGGGATGGGGAATGGATCGGGGTCCCGGACACGCCGCGGTCCCGCGGGGTTTGGGGTGGAGGCCGTGGGGGTGGTCGGGGGGTCTGGGCCGGCTCCTTCTGCTCCGGGTCCCTCCCGTCCCCTCCCCATCCCATTCCCTCCATCCCATTCCCTCCATCTCGTTCCCATCCCGTTCCCGTTCCCGTTGCTGGCGGCGCTGCCGGAGCGGGCGCGGTTTGGCCCCGGCTCAGCGCCTCCGTGGCACCGCGGGCGGGATCCTCGGGCGGGAGGGACCGGAGGGACAGCCCCGGGCTGTGCGGGGATCCGGGACCGGGACCGGGATGGGGCAGGAGGAACAGCCCCGGGCTGATCCTGGCTCTGCCATCGTGGCGTTCCCTCCTTTCTCTTGGAATATCGCCGGGCGGGATCGGGCAGGAGGGACAGCCCCGGGCTGATCCTGGCGCTGCCATCCCGGCATTTTCCCGTTTCTCTTGGAATATTGCCCCGGGATGGGACAGCAGAGACAGCCCCGGGCTGTGTTCTTGCGTTCCATCCCGGGATCGGGGCAGGAGGGACAGGAGGAACAGTCCCGGGCTGATCCTGGCGCTGCCATCCCGGCATTTCCCCGTTTCTGCTGGAATATCGCCGGGTGGGCGCGGGCAGGATCCCTCCACAGCCCGGGCTGTCCCTCCCGTCCCATCCCATCCCATCCCATCCCGATCCCCATCCCGGGGACAGTGCGAGGTGTCCCCGCCATGGCAGGGCTGGCACCGGCTGCGATTTAAGGTCCCCCCAACCCAAACCGTGCCAGGATTGTGTGACCCTGCTCTGCTGTCACCCGCACAGCCACCCCCACAGGGAGAAGGGAAAACACCGGAGATATTCCCAGAGAAACGGGGAATGGGGGATGGCAGCGCCGGGATCAGTCTGGGCTGTCCCTGCTGTCCCTCC